AGGTCAAAGAATTTTTATAAACATAACTTCCCCAGTTTGCTGACAGAATAATGGCTCATTTACCGATTTCCAATATTGAGATTAGAACTCTGAATCTAGACACAAAGGAACAGCTGCTTTCAACTTTGCAATCACTATTTGTATGTCACTTGACCTCTTTCCCATGAATATCTGCCATGCCCATCTCTTTGGTTCCACTCCCTTCAGCCATTTACTGTAAACAGTGTTAAGAAAAAACGTGACTCATGCTGCTGTAATATGATAGAAGGTACATTGCCAGAAGGCAAAATAATGTTAATACAGTTTTATTAAAAGAGAGAGGAGTTATACCTGAGGTAGTTCACAATATGAACTCCAAGATTATTGTTTGACTTTATTTTCATTAATTTAACAGACACAATTACCTGCATGAGAGGATGGGAAGTCAGTGATAGTGTCCTGGTTCAGTGCTATTGGCTTTTTACTAGTCAGACAAACCATTCGTGCCGTCATATCTGTGAAAGCATCACTCATGGTTTGCCAACAAGGGTCAGTATTCGCAAAGCCAAGTATAAGAAACCACATTTAAGTACAGTGAAACACAGCACTCTAAAGGGTTACTGTTTTTACAGCTGGGACAACACAAGCAACCACTGCAATCACTGACACTGACCATTAGTGTGAATGCAGCCTGGTACACGCAATCACAAATAAAGCTTTAACACAAAAGCACGAGAGTCTAGTGAAGCATTAACCCCATCTACTAAAGCTGTAACACTTAGTTTTGTTGGCCCTTCAAACAAATGTCTGCCGGCAGTTTTCAAACGGGTCACCTAAATTAATCCGTGTATATTTAGGAAAACGGGTTTGTTGTTAATGCTTGTCTCCAACATACCCAACACTCTCGCGAACCCTTAATATTATTAAAATTTTTAGGTTTTTTCTCCCAAAACTCAGTTTGATCCTCACCAGATTTGTGCAACAGGGGAGTGTATTTTCAGAGTGCTGGTTTCTCCATCTGTGCGACCACAGCACTGGGCTCCTCTCCCTGCATCTCTCTGCCCACTGTTCCCACGCCTCTTTATGGGCTAAATACATATTTAGGGAAACACTGAGTAGCAAATCATATGCTCTGACAGTACACCCCAAACCCAATACTAGCAGTCTTTTTACTATCTTCATGGATTTAAAGAAAGAAGAAAAAAATGTTGTTAGTACTGGACTAAGTTTATCTATCCATGAAAGCTCTCTTTCACCGAGCCCCTGCTTCAGACTATACAAGTATTCACATTCAAGTTTTAGAACAGCAACCCACATATCAAACTACTGCCCAGTGCAAAGCGTGAATGGGGCTGGTGATTGAATTTAAAGTCATGCCCCAAAATAAATGACCCTCTAGTCAACTGTTTGCAAATCTAACTACTGGACTGCTGTTACAAGCCCCTTGAGAAAACAACCATAAAGTCAGAGAAAAGCGGGAAAAAAGTCCTCCAAACACTTGAATGGTGCTCACTTGGAAATTGTCCTATTAGCCAGACCAAAGCTTAACACACATCTGTGCGCTAGACATAACGATCAATGATTTCATAGCCACTTCTACTGTCCATTAGTAAAGCTACCACTCTGCACTTTAACATGCTCCACTGTACTGTCAATACAAATTATACCAGGAAGTGCTCGCTCACGCCATTTCCTTGTGAGGAGAAATAAATGACAAATGGATTCTTCTGTATAGTCACATTGTGTATAGCGTTCAACCAGTGCTGCAGATCCATTTATATGCAAGCAAAGAAGACTAAATTGGTTTCAGGGTCTGTGTGCATGGGTGAGTCTGCAAGTGTAATGAATAAGATCCTGGCACATCACAACTGGGTTTCTCTAATGCACTCCCTGTAGACCAGAAGAAATAAACAGATAAAGATGAAGTGGATGTGTATGTGAACGCAATGGCAAAAAAAAAAGGGGAGAAAGAGGGAGAGAGAGAGCCAAAAGTTAGACTAAGCATGAGAGGGCAAGAGGAAAGGAGGGAGGGAGGGAGTTTTCAGTTTTGTTATTGGAGCCGTACAAGTCATTTCTAACTTAAAGAGTTCCAGATGTGGGTCGGCCTCTGAGAAAGAGGCAGAAAGATGAAGTGAGATCAAGTGAGAGGGAGGAGTTTTAATAGAATGTGCCATGCATTCTATGTGATCAATAATCTACCCTCCCATACTGGTTTGTAAGAAGGAAATGGATATTTGTTTTTTGTTTGGGCGGTAGGCAAAAGAGGGGATGTTGCTCAGCAGTAGGGTTGCCGTTTAGGGTGTAGGGTGTCAGGTGGAAAGATGGTAGAGGGGTATGTGGCTTCCATATCCCAGATTTAGCCCTATAAAAAGCTACGGTGGTCAGAATAATAGTCTGTTGTTATTATATGCACACACACACATCACACGATGGTCTTTCTCAAGACCAGTGACTAAACTCACCAAAATAGGCCAAACCTAAGCGAAAGACATCTGGTGAAGTAATGTGACAAAAGCTGCTTTTTAACTTTTTTATGAAATAGCACCCCAATTCAAATGTAAAACCAAACAACAGGCCTGTCTAGTGTACAGCAATGTACTGTTTATAGCACTTGCAGGCTTAAATGGAGCAGATAAATAATGATGAAGCCACTGGAAGCTGTACAGACTTTGAAATGGAAGGTAGCAGTTAATATGTGAGTGCATGCGTGTGGGAAAGTACTATCTATTACAAGCACATTGATCTCAGATCAAAAGTTGGCTGTGTTACATTAGCGTCTTCTCCACATGCACGGCACACTTGCACATAATTGTGCAAGTGTGCCTCATAATTGTATTTAATATTGACTATCTATAGTTATTTTTTCTTTCTCTCTCCCTCTGAGTTGTGTATATTGTTCCTTGGTGCGTGCATGCATCCTCAGCATTTGCTTTGACTCCCTCTGTGTTTGACTAAGCTGCACGATCACACAACAAAAGGCCATTGTGCTGCAGTAAAATAGCTCTGCTCCAGGGAGCTGGTAGTGGGCCACAAACAAAGGCTGGTTACACTGTCCCAACACAAGCTCATGCATCAACTCAACACTGGGCTGCCAAAACAGTCATGGAAAGAGCACTGTGAGTGTACTAGGGCTTAACAGAGAAGGCGGAGAAAGGGACTCGATTCAGAAGGGATGTGAGGGTGGAGGAAACAAATGGGCAGGGAGCAGGATGCACAGCTGTAGCTGGAGGAGAGAGGAGGGAGAGATGTAAGATACAGTATGCGGGGATGGTGGTGGGTGAAAGAGATCTGTCTACCAGGAGCACAGGATGAGGAAATGGAAGAAAGGGAGGATTTTAAAGGAGTGTGGCCAACACAGCGAGAGGCTGAGAGGTGAAGTCAGCGCAAACAGAGAGCTATGTCAACAGACAAGCCTCCTGCCTAGACTCTGAAGGCTCTCTGCACTCCAAACCACAACAGTAGAACACCAGAGTGACATGTGAGGACTCAATCTGACTGGTTGAGGTTTTTTTCTCAGCAATTTGTTGTTTTGTGACTTTGGTTGAACAGAAAATGCCTTCTTTGCCCACATTAGAGGCAATTTTCTTACTCTGACAAGTCAAATAGGCAACAAATACATCAAATTCTCACGCACTAAAAGCTGCTGTTGTAATCAGCACCAGGCCACAATTAACCTTTTTCCACACATGGACTCAGAGGGAGTGGAAAGTTGTGATCAACACTCAGCAAGACCAATATGTGATACAAAAAAATAGTATGCAACAAAACATTCACTGAAGGTCCTCACTCTATGCTATGCACTGTTAACTTAAAGGCACTTTTATATACATCATTTATATTTACCATTAGCGTTCTTCCCGCAGATGAGGTGCTCATAGTGTTGCAGGACTCCCCACAGCTCCGCGTCATTGTTGACCACCCCCTCCATGGCCTCTGCACTCACCGTGGTGCACCCTGACCCCAAATCAGGCCCTGAATGACCCCTCTCGGCCATCAGCACCCGGGCACCTATCTCCTCCACCAAGGCTTCCATGCATGCAGTTAGGCATATGGCCGCATACTCGTGGATGCGCACGGAGATGCGGGTGTCCACCATCCAGCGGAAGAAGCGTCCCACAGAGAAGGAGAGGCCGCAGCGGGCGGACTTGCCTTTCCTCAATAGTTCACCGGCACTCATGCTGTACAAGGAGATGGCCTTAACTGTAGCAGAGACGCAGTAGTCGGCGAGGGCCCAGCTGAGCACCAACTTCATGGCACTCTGCACTTCGAAGCGTGTGCAACGGCAGTGCATGACGCTGAGACGCTGAGCCTCTCTGGAAATGCGGATCAGAGCCCTGCGGAGAAGGGTGGACAGCCGCCTCACAGCCTCCGGTGAGAACACAGGTGTAGTCCCCCATTTCATGCTCCCACTTTCGGCCACTTTACGCAGTATTTTGGCCACCTCCTCCTCAGTCCATGGAAACTCTTCCAGTTCAGGTAAGCGTGGACACTTGGAGAAGATGTCCTCTGGGTCTTCTGGAAGGACAGTGTTGACCGTGTCCCAGCTGTTGTTTCTGCTATTCATGGAGCCGGAGTAGTACCACCAGTTCCCCCGGTGAGGGGCCGTCATGAATGCCTGGGAGTTTGACTTTGAGGAGGACAGGCTGAGGGATTTGCAAGAGTCCCCCGCCCCGTAGCCCGAGTCCAGAGTTAGGTCCTCCAGGGTTTTCATGTGGGCATTGCTCAAGCCAGCCATTGTCGTCCAACGGCCTTCACAGAGACCTTCTGGAAGAGAGGCGAACCTCCTCAGCGGCTTACCTGCAAAGTCAGAGAAGCAGCTGACGAAACTCCTCGGCGAGCTGGACGAACCGGTTACACAGCGCAACACTTGTCAGACATGCTGTGGAGTTCAGCGTGGGACGGCGAAATACGACAACTCCTTCAGCAGACAAAGTCCTGATTGTTAGAAAGAGCAGACTGAATCAAAACTCTCTCTATTTCATTTACAAAAAGGACGGCCAGGATGATTCAAGTCGCACCCGGCTCACCTTCCCCCTGATCTCACCGGGATTTAAACTTTCCTCCGGTAACCTGTCTTTTAAGAGATGAAAACAGTCCTTCCGCGATTTCAATACAGCCAGAGTCGAGTTTACTTATAAAATAGCTCCATGTAGCCGCTCAACAGACAGAAAGTCTTTGTTTTTTTGCGTAGGTAATTGTGGAAAAGTTCGAATATATATCTCTGCTCTCCTCTCACAGCTCGTCGTCACGTACAGTGAACCGGAGAGACTCGGCTGCAGATGTGCGCGAGGAGGGACTGCTGCTGAATGACAACGCGGAAGCAGCTCAAACACCAATCAGAAGACGCCCGACTCTCACCTCAGCCAATCAGAGCACACTTAAAAGCTCTCCTAAGTTGGAAAAACAAAAGTAAACTTAATTTCCCCCGAAAGAGGGATACCGTAACACTGACGTGTATGACCTACCACTGCATTTGCCCATTATCCAAGTATCACACAATGTTTCAGATATTTTGTGAGAACATTATTTTATAAATATATTATTTTGTCAAATCGAGAGCTCAAAAATACTATTAAATAGGATTAAATTATTAAATACTATTCATTGTAACAGTAACAGATACATGGCACATCATCCGGTCCCTAGTTGGTTCCTCACGTTCACTCAGAAGTACATGGCTTGTTCACTGCATATTAGTCAACTGCACTGTAAGTGAAACAGATACTCTGAGCGCCTAGTAATGGTGTAAGACTTACACCATATGAGGTGAAGTTTACTTTTGACTGTACAAGGTTTAGGGTTTTCACCGAAAACTGCATTTTAAGCTTATTTAGAACAGGAAGGAAGACAGAAATACTGCAACAGCTCGAATAATGAGAGATTTTGTAGTGGTTAAGTAGTAGTGCACTGTACATTGTGCTCATTCAGCACCAGTTCAGCAGAACTAATAAAAATAGGCTTGTTACTACCTGCTTCTCATTAGTCTGCGCTTACATAGGCAGGGTGTGTCTCGATTACTTAAGGGGTTTAAAGCACAAGACTCACTCTACGTACCTGCTGGACCGCAACAGTGGCTGCAATAAATGTTATCTTGTATATACAGACTCACATGTTACAGGACATATCGTCCGTGTGCTTGAAGTGGAAAAACCCAGTCCTGATATGTACACACACTCGTATCATGCTGTATTAGTCAGTCATAGAAACTGAAAAAAGTAAAGTACATGTAAACTCCCCAATTTCTTGCTGTTAGTCAGAGCTAACAGAAGACACACGGGACACGGGAGAGGAGATCACAAGGGGTCAACGCTTGCCTCACCTAGACCTTGTTTAGCTGTGGTGTGGACAGCGCTTACCTCATGGTCTAGAGAGGAAAGCCACAACCGTGTCAATGATTAAATGTCACTTCTGCTGGGAAGTTTTGTTTTTTTTTATGTTAGCGTCATGACGTTTCACTTCTCACATATCACTCATGTGTGATCAATACACAATAAGTTCTCTGGATGTATTAGAAACCATTTTTCCTCGGAGGAAGCGTCATTACCTGTCTGACGTCATCGAATGTAGTGTTTCCCAGAACAAATTCATGTGTAATACTCTGGCTGTTTTGTTCATGTAGCTTTCCCGAAAACAAATGTGTAGCATATAAATAATAACAAAAAGCTATAATTTGCAAATCCTTCGAACGCTATAGTTTACAGAAAATATAGCAACGGGAAAAATCCTTTATATTGACAAATAGATGTTCATTTAAAAAAAATGAAAACTGGAAAAGTCAGCTGTAGTAAGCTTTATTTCTCTGGCAATGAGTCACCCTACCTCTGCTCAAAATATGTTGAGCAATGTTATTTCCATGTCTCCATTTTACCACGTCACGGCCCGTGTGGGACGAGCACCACCGTGTGGTCAGAAAAACAAATAACATTTTTATTTGACTTTTGTGTCACTTTTTCTGTATTGAAACCAGGGTTCCAAAAACATAAATAAACGCACAACAAAAAAACACCTAAAATATTATCCAGATGTAAGGATAAAAGTTTATTTGCAAAAACAAAAAACAAACAAACAAACAACAAATGAAAATAAAAGTACAATACATTCTTAAAACCTTTTCTCTACAAAACAATTTCACAGAAATTACCTCGGAATGTATACTTATTTTTCATTTTGTAAATGTTTCATATATATATATATCTATATATATATATTCTTATATATATTCTTATATTAATGTGTTTCCTTTATTTTAAATAGTCCCATTTGAATGCAAAATGATGTACAGTGTAGACCTTTTTTTTCTATAGAGGCAAAAAAGGTCTAGAGGGCATTTTGACAATCATATAGTCAATAACAGATCGTTAGTGTTCATCCATATACATGTCCAGCCAAGAGCCCTCCAGCCACTCTTCCTCAATATAAGTGCCATGTTGCATAAACAGAAGGCATTAGGAGCCCGGCCTCCAGCCAAAATAATGGGAGCAGGTGGGGTCCTACTGGACTGCAGCTGCCAGTGACTCTTTATCACACCCTCTGTTCCCACTCAGTAGTCATTCTTAACGATTCTCCTTCTATCTCACCAGTGAACACTTCGTATCACTAAAACCTCAATCAAACCCGTCCTTTCTTTTGAGATAATACAATAAACGGTGACACTTCTATGATCCTTTAAAGAGAACATTAATTTCCTCTTTTTACAGTATATCTGAATTTACACTGACATTACAGCCCGCTGATAAATACCGTTGTATTTCTGTTTGTCCCGGCCCTCGTCAGTCATTAAAGTAGCTTAAAAACTGCCTGCAGCCAAACCCTGATAAAGGCACACATTTGTGAAACAGCCATGCCTTGCACCACCGTGTCCCACACATGAACTGGTCTCCCTTCTGTTAGCGCTTAAAACAAACTCAAACAGAAGAGTATCTGTATTTTCGACAGCCAAGCATTCCCCGTCCCTGTGGGATTTTAATACGAGAAATGAAGTTTACAAACAAAAAAAAAATCCTGTCAGTAGATCTGAAATGCTCACAAATTCAGTGTTATTGAACAGGAATAGCATGCCAAATGTAAGCACATGCTTAGTCCAGATAAATAAAAGTCCCTTGTTAAAAAAAAAATAAGAAAAAGCCCCTCATCACTTAAAACAACCAATAGCTTGCATTATTATAAATGCTCTATTTTAAAATTGACATTATAAAATAATATTACAAACAGATACAAACACACAAATTAGCATGACAAGCAAAAGGATAAAGAAAGGAATAAAATAAAGGTGATACAGAGGGAGAAAGAGGGGCAGAAAGGGAGGTATCGGTTTGAGAAAGGGCTTTTTCTGAAAGGAAAACTTTCTGTGGTTTATAATATCAGATACAAAGAGGAGTTCAGCACCTCAGTCGTTCTAGTCAATGATATTTAACAGGTAGAAGTTGATGTACTGCTTTATCAAACAAAGTGTTCCCCTACTTGAGCTACAACCCTGCGTCTGAATCGTCCGATGAACACGTTGACACACATTCTATTAGGCTCCCGCGTGAGAGCGTGTTAGCAAAAAGATCTTAGGTTGTCTTCACATCTCCGTGTTAGAAAAAAAAAAAGGGTGCTTTCCGTCATGGCAACGCACCCACACACCTATATATACATACCCACACATACAAACACGCACGCGCTCTCTGCTTTCCAGTCTGTCTGAAAACATTGCACCAAAAAGGACAGAGAAAAGGAGAATAAAAATAACTCTTCTCTCTGTACAGTAGTTCAGTCAGCGAGGCAAAGTGATGACTCGGGTCCGTCTGCGTAAAAAGCACGCCTCCAAATTTTCAAATTTGGAATCAGTTTCTTCGTACAGACAAATACACGACAGGGTCCGAGGAGTCCCTGAAAGGAGCCTGTTTCGAAAAGGCAGAATTCAGGCAGTGAGCGAGCTCCGACGGGTCTCTCTCTCACACACACAGTGGGTCTGCAGGCAGGTTTAGGATCCTCTGACCAACAGGCTGCGCTATCCCTTGGGAGTTTTTTTGTTTTGGGCATTCCACATGCCTCTCTTGGAGTGGTAGTAGTGAAAGAAGTTCCTCAAGCGTAGTCTTTCTACTTCCAAACCGTTCTGCAGGACCCTAACGAACGAGACAGACAGAGAGAAGTTTCTTTTGTTGTCTCAGATCATGCAAATACACTAAAAGATAACCCTGCATATAAGCTGATAACCCTGATTTTCATGTTTCATGTACTTCTAAATGAGAATTTGGACATGAACAACATGAACATTAGAATAAAGGTACGCTGTATTTTATTACCTTGAGCGTTCAAACAACACGTTGATAGCTGTGTCCTTGCTTTAAATTACTTCTTTTAAGTCAGGTAAGATCTTTTTTTTTCCAAGTCAGAAAATTGTGTTATTCTGATACCGCATGAATACATAATAATCTTCGGTTTCTTTAGCTCAAGTTTTGAAATTGCTACAGCTATAATTTCCTCTGCCACAATGCAGATTAAAGGACTAACATTGAAAAATGACAATTTAAAAGATAATTTCCTGATCGCTATAAACATAAATGTTCAGCTTTTTAAAGCTTCTTTTGATCTTCCCTTCCTGAGCTGCACTTTTACTAATAATAGAAACTTTTACATAACACAGGGACATATTTTACAACATGCACTGCTTTTACGTAGCTTTTGAGGTTAAATTAGATGTTCACTAGTTTGTTCACTCTGTGTCATACATGCTTTGAGAGTGTTTATGTTGCAGAGCTACCTGTCCAACAGTTCCCAATCCTCTCCACCCCAGCGGTCTTTGAATTCTTCCGTGTTCATCCCTCCAATTTTATCAAAATCAGATTTATAAATTCCAAACAGGCCAAAGCCGTTTACCTCCCAGTAACCTTAGAGACAAAAGAAAAGCACTGAGTCATACAGTTTGATGGTGCAGCAACAGGAAAATCTGATGCCTACACATGATTGTACTTCAAAAAGTATATTTACTACACATATAAAATAAAAATCACATATATCACCGTAACTGGGGAATGATTTTCAGTGCTTCTTCAAACTAAGCCTTTGTTAATATGTAACACGTGTATTTTTTGTGTGTTACCATCGGGCTCCTGTGGTGAACTACCACAGCTGAGTCTCATGACAATGGGAGCAAAAGCAAGGCGTCCCTCCACGCAGTGCTTCCTGATGCTTTCCAAGATGTTGAGAGGGAAATGGATGTGCAGGTCACACAGGAATACGATGCTGTGACTGTCCTGTGGGAGAAAATGCAAAGAAATGCTCAAGTATGTTTGCTACATCCAAATGATATCAAAATCCTTCCTTCAACCGGGCAAAAGAAGCGTCTGATTTGTGTGCGTAAGCTGGTGCAAGACAAGCGGATGTTCACATGCGCTTTACCGCTTTTTACACGGGCTTTTAGGATTAACGAGAGCAGAAGCTCTCTTTAGGTCTGTGCTCGGCATGAGTGGGTTGTCGTCACGTCAACAGCCCATAGGTCATTTAGATATGAGTGACAGTCCTGTCATCCCACCATGACAGCACTGACAGTCAACTGACGGATCAACGTCTGTCCAGACTTCCAGCTGCTCCATTCTCCCATGGGTGGGTTATGCATGCGTGCGAGACAGAGACAGCCACAGAATGGTGTAAGGGCACATGCACACAAATAACCTGTGAGAGGGAGTGGATGTGACAGCTATGGCATACATATGACAGAGGATATGCGGCTATTTGTCTAAGGAATTCCCTGTCAGCCACAGCTGGACTCTGTGCGAGAGCGCCAAGGAAGGCAGTAGGAGGCTTGGAGATAAGGGCGAGATCCACAGTCCATGACAGACCAACCTCGCTGTGATGCATTCATTATGCATGAGTGTTCTTTCTGCCTGTCCATCAGCCAGTAAAGGTCATGCGGTCCGTGCAAGCGTCTGACCTTCAGTGAGTGGCTTTTGCCTGCCAGCTCACATATTGTCGTCTTCTCTATGTG